GAGCGGTGAGTTTAAAAGAGTCCTCCGGGCACCAGTTTCAAGTGAGAGGCCCGACTCGGGCCTGGGATGGGCGAGACTCACGTCTCTTCTCTGTTTCACAGCCTGGGGAGACTCCCAAACCCCCTCTGCTCCTGTTTGCACCCCAGGTCCACAGCCATGACGCTGGCGTTGCTGGAAGACTGGTGCAGGTGGATGGGCGTGAACGCTCAGTGCGCCCTGCTCGTCCTGGACATCCCTGAGGACTGTGCGGAGGACGAGTTCCAGGAGGCCGTGCGAGGCACCTTGGGCCCCCTGGGCACTTACCGCGTGCTGGGCAAAGTGTTCAGAAAGGAACTGGGCTCCAGGGTCGCCTTGTTGGAATTCTCTGAGTACTTAAACCGGAGCGTGATTCCCCAACAGATCCCAGGCAGAGGGGGTCCCTGGAGGGTCATCTGCATGCCCGAGGTCCCTCAGGGTGAGTTGCAGGAGACGCTTGCTTTCCCTGTCCGACCCCAAGGGCACGGAGGGGCTGGCAGCCCAGGTGCAGCAGGAGCGGAGGATGTGGCAGCCACTGTAGGTAGGGAAGGAATCGCAGGTGGTGCAGAAAGGGGGAGTGTGTCCGCAGTGCAGAAGGTGGCAGGAGCAGGTGGTGCAGAGAATCTGGTAGGAGCCACAGGTGAGGCAGGAGCGGTAGGTGAGCCAGGAGCTGCAGGTGAGGCAGGAGTGGAGAATGTTTCTGAAGCTGCAAGTGAAGCAGGAGCGGCAGGTGAGGCAGGAGCAGAGAACCTGGTCGGAGTGGGTGGTGAGGCAGGAGCAGAGAATCTGGTAGGAGCCGCAGGTGAGGCAGGAGCCACAGGTGAGGCAGGAGCCACAGGTGAGGTAGGAGCAGAGAATCCGGTAAGAGCCGCAGGTGAGGCAGGAGCTGCAAGTGAGCCAGGTGCTGCAGATGAGGCAGGAGCGGAGAATTTGGTTGCAGTTTGGGTTGAGGCAGGTGCTGAAGGAGGAGCTGCAGGGGAGGAGGAAGCAGCCCGGGAGGCAGGAGAGGAGAATTTGGCTGAAGGTGGGGCTGAGGGAGGAGCCCCAGAGCAGGGAGGAGAGGAGAATGGGCCAGAGGTTTGGGTTGACGATGGCGCTGCAGGGGAAGCAGGAATGCAGAATTGGGGTCAGGCAGGTGCTGAGGGAGGAGGCCCAGGTGAGGTGGGAGCTGCAGGGGACACCGGCTATGAGGAGGTTCCAGGTGCCTTGGGTGCAGCAGCCGCCCTGGATCTGGTTGGAGAGCCGGGAGAGGCCGAGTCCTGGGTGCAGCAGTGGAGGCACGCCCTGCAGCCCATCCTGGAGAGCCTGGCCTACCAAGAGCTGAGACCCTTCTCTGGGCTGGAAGAGCCGGGCTCCGGGGAGGAGCCCTTTGAGGGCTGGCTGGACCACGCTTACGACGTGCTGTACCTGTGGCGCCACGTGTCGGAGACGGAAAGGCGAAGGCGGCTGGTGGAGTGCCTGAGCGGCCCGGCCCTGGATCTCCTCTGCGGCCTCCTGACGGAAGACCCTGAGCTCCCGGCCCAGGACTGCCTGATGGCGCTGGTGCAGGTGTTTGGGGCCCAGGATCCGTGCTCCAGGGCTCGGCTCAAGCTCCTCACCTGCACCCAGGGTCCCCTGGAGAGCCTGTCTGCCTTTGTGAAGCGGCTGGAGGGCCTGCTGCAGAAGGCCATAGAGAAGGGGGCCGTGCACCCGGCAGTTGCTGACCAGGTGCGCACCAGGCAGGTGCTGATGTGGGCTCGTCCCAGCGCCATCCTTTACGACAAGCTGAGGTGGATGCGGCTGGATGGCCGGCCTCCTGGCTTCCTGGAGCTGCTGCAGCTCATCGGGGAGACAGAGAGGCAGGAGGCTCCCCAGGCTCAGGAGGAGGTGGGAGCGGTGGGTGGAGCCCTGGCCGCTGGGCCCCCCGCCCTAGCTGAGCCCCAGGAAGGCCCGCCAGGGGAAGTGGGTGCAGCCCCCGGGGAGGAGGGTGCTCCCACCCCTGGAGAAGATGCTGCACCAGGTGAAGGGGGTGGCCCAGTGGGTCAAGATTAAGGAAGCCGAGATGGAGACACTCGTTGGGAGGGTGAGTTGGGCGCCCCAGCCATTGAAGAGGGGGGCCCAGGCTGTGGGCCTGAAGGCCTTGCCTAGGGAGTGTCAGTCCTCACCCCTCGACCAAACCAGAAAGATGTGGCCAAGGTCGGGCGCTCTCCCAGAGTCTCCATCCCTGCTGTTGCTTGAGTCTATTGTTTTCTAGTCCAGGCCTTGTTTTTTGCTCTGTCTCCAGTGCTGTTTCCTGCCTGTTCCTCCCACCGTTGCTGTTAATGTGTTTCTGTTCAATAAATCTCTTTGAGTGTTTGTGGGAGTCTGGTCTCTCTCCCTGCTGTGGGCGCCCCAGGGGAGGGGAAGATGGGCAAGACGCGGAGGGCATCTGCCAGGATTCACCCGTGCCGAGGGACCACTGACAGAAGCCAGCTGGGTGTCTGATGCCGACTGCCGGCAGGACAGGACAAGCTTCCTCGTCGCCGCTGGACACAAGGAGAGCCGCCTGGTGACCGAGTCTTGGCCCGGTGGGGCAGGAGGCCGACTTTCTCATCAGATCTGCACAGGTCCCTCCGAGGCCTTGGCACCAGGCAGGGGTGTCCCTGGGGGCCCAACATGAGCAACCCTGGGTGCAGGGCCCAGCCATCCACAGGAGGCCTGCCCTCAGCATGGTGGCCCCCGGGAGGTTAGGGAGGTGGGGGTCAGTCTGTGGTGAGAGATGGGAGCTGGACCGGCCGTGGTTTCCGTCCTCAAGCAGCCCTGGACCCGTTGTCTGGGGACAGCAGTGCCCACCTGGGTGAGGAAGCCTGGGCATGCAGAGGGCAGCGCAGGACAGAGGAGGTGGGGGTCCGCGGGCAGGTGTGCAGGCTCCAGGGTCCCAGGGCCTTGGCCTGGTGTTCTCGGTACACATGGAGGATGTGACTGAAGGCACGAATGGTCTGTGAGGGTCTGTGTCTCCTGCTCGCATCCCAAACCCACTGAGGACCCCTCATTCACCTTCGGGGCGGGAGTGGAGGACAGAGCCACCACCACCAGAGGGGCAGAGCCACCTCGTCTCTTGGCCGCTTAGGGTCTCATTTGGGGTATAGATATGTTCCCTCTCTAGTACACAGACCAGCTCTCGTATCTCCTTCCCAGATATCTGTGCTCATGGCTTATGATGTCATCTGCCTGTAGACATAGGCAAAAAAAGAAATCTCTTCAAGGCCTATAGCTCTTTTTCTTTCCAGAAAAAAACATCAACTGGCCTTGCTTTTAACACTGCTTCAAAGAGGAAAAAAAAAATCAGAAATGACTACAACCCCAGGTCGTAGATTAGAAAGCACTTCAGTGAAATATTTTTAAGTCAAGGTCAAGGTAGGGAACAGATACACCTCTCCTTAGAACTGTAGCAGAAATCAGATTCTCTTGAAGTTCAGGGTTCCTGTCCCAAAATTCCCTAAAAAGAATAACCCATTATTGAACCTCCAGCCTCAGCAACCCTGTGGATGGTTGCCCAGAGTCAGTGGACTTGAGGACCCTGGAGTGGTGGGGTGGCGCTGTGGAGTAATTAAAGAGGGGGTATATTGTGATGGTGCTGGTAAAATTCCACCCATTTCAAAACCCAGTGTGTCTGATAGATGTAAAAAAGCAACGTGTGTTGCGTGAACTGGAGAAAATGCTATCAATGAAAGAAGACAGACGATCAACGCCCTGTGTGTGTGATGGTTTTTCCTGCTAACAAGAGGCAGTGCACCGACACCCACCCGTGCTACCTGGCCGGCAGTGCTGGCCTGGACTCCCAACAGGAAGGTAAAGGTGATAATGACCACGCAGCATAAACACTCTAGCCTTTACAAGAGGAACTAAACGGGCGGGCAGTTCCTGGAGCATGGTGGTGGTGGCTGGAGACAGGCCACATTTGTGGAGAAACCATTCCCTTTCCCTAGGACCAGAACTAGGAGAGAACTAGGTGATAGAGAGCAGACAGGAAGCTAGAATTCAGTGCCCTCCAGTAGTCCCCCACAAGAGCTTACAGAGGGCACCCCAAGCACCCCCTCCCATTGCCAAACAACCGCTGCAGAAGCTTGTCTGGGCGTAGAACTTGGCAGGGTGCGGAGCAGATGCTTGATAGAGTTTCTGTCTCTGCGCAGTCCCTCTCTGCCTGTATCATGCACATAAGCAAGCTCCGTTTGAGGACCCAAGAGAAGGTGAACCTTGCTGGATGGAAGGTAACCCTGTAGAGCTTCCAGTTAAAGCCCTTCCTGTTCTTAGAATTGAACTGTACTGTTTCCTAGACAACATGTTTTGTATAATCACAGTCAAGGCAATGTACAGTTCTGCTCAGAATCAAGGTCACAGTCTATTACTGATTCTCCACGGCAACAGCAGAGTCCTTGTCTGCCATGAGAGAGCCACCCTCTATCGGTCACCAGCTCCGCCAAGTGAACCCAAACCCACTCAACTCTGCACCTTTGGATTGCAATGTGAACACACTAAGTGGATGGTGACCCTAGTAATCAAGCCTGTGCCCCCAGGACTGCTCTACTCTGCTTCAATCTAAGTGTATGGTGGCCTCTGACACCAGCTCCTTGTGCCACTAGGACAGACACCTCTATAGGCCTCTACGAGGTCTGTCCAGTTGACCTAACCCTAACACACACCACCCCACCCGCCGTGTTATAGTTTCTTGGGTTTTAATCTTTACGGGAGCAGATCACCAGACCTTTCTTCTGCTGTGCTGTTGATGGAGGTGGATCTGTAAACCCTTTAGCAGTGGAGTACTTAACTGATGTGCCCCCAAGGCTTCCAGAAGCATGAGATGAGTGGTATAGAGGCCTGTGTGTAGGGGTGGGACTGTTTTCTGCATCTTGCTAACATCAAGACAGCAGCCCCATGTCTTCTGAGGGCCTGTCCTGAGGCAGCACCAATAGGAGGCAGGAAGGTTGGCTTTGGAACCTGCCGCAGCACAGCCCTGTGGTCTGAGTGGGATTTCTGCTGCAGGGATGCTGCTGAGACGCCATCCTGAGTCAGAGGACTAGTTTCTCACACTAGCGTGTTTTCCACAGCCATGCCAACTGAAGATTAAATGAAAAAACTGTTAAAATGACAGTACTACCACAGGAAATTTACACATTCAATGGAATCCCAATTCAAATACCAATTCTATTCTTCAACGAGATGGAAAAGGCCATCTCAAAAAAAAAAGCCATCTCCAATTTCATTTGGAATGGGAAGAGGCCCCAAATAAGCAAAGCACTCCTTAAAAAGAGAAATAAGACAGGAGGCATCTCACTCCCCAATTTCAAATCCTACTACACTGCCGTGGTGGTGAAGACAGTGTGGTACTGATACAATGACAGACATATAGATCAATGGAATAGAATTGAGAATCCAGAAATCAGCCCATCTACCTATGGCCAACAGATTTTTGACAAGGAGATGAAATCAGTTAAGTGGGGAAATTGCAAGCTTTTTAACAAATGGTGTTGACAAAATTGGAAAACTATCTGCAGAAAATTCAAGCAATATCCACACCTTACTCTATACACAAAAACCAACTCAAAGTGGATAAAGGATGTAGGACCACAACCAAGGACTATAAACCTCATTAAAGAAAAGCTTGGAAGAACTCTAGAAGTCCTACATGAAGAGTCTTCCAAGCATCCTGAAAAACCAGGAGAGGATAAAATAGATGAATGGGACCTTGTAAGAATCAAATCCTTATGCACATCCAAAAACTTCTCCAACAGGGTAAAAAGGGAAACCACAGACTGGGAAAAATATTTGGTAATGACATGTCTAATAAGAGACTTATATCTATAATTTATAAATTACTCGAGCACCACAACAAGATAAAGGTAAACAACCCAATTGAAAAATGAGCACAGGATATGAACAAACACTTCACCAAGGAAGACATTCAGATGGCAAACAAACACATGAAGAAATGTTCACAATCCGTATCTCTAAGAGAGATGCAAATCAAAACAACTATGAGATACCATCTCATCTAATCAGAATAGCATAATTCAACAGAGCAGCAAGCAACAAAGGCTGGCGAGGTTGTGGAGAAACTGGAACCCTTATTCACTGTTGGTGGGAGTGTAAAATGGTGCAACTACTATGGAAGTCAGTATGGCGCTCTCTCAAAAAGTTGGAAATAGAAATACCATTTGACCCAACAATTAACTGCCACCCAAGCAGATATATGCACACCCATGTTATTGTGGCTTTGTTCACAATAGCAAAGAGTTGGAAATAACCCAAGTGCCCATCAACAAACGAATGGATAGAGAAGCTCTGGTATAGTCACATAATGGACTACTACACTGCACTGAAAAATGAAGAACTCATGCAATATTATACAAAATGGGTGACCCTGGAGGACATTATGCTGAGTGAAATATCTCAGTCGCAAAAGGACAAATACTGCATGTGCCACTGCTGTAGAACAGGACTGACATCGGTGTTGGGGGGAGACTGAGAAAGATGGGATAAATTATAGATACCCCATTGAAACAGATGAGGGAGAGAACTGTTTAAAAGGAATATATGATTAGGTATTATTTTCATGATAAGCCTCCAGAAAAAGAAATGCTTAGTAAAGTGGACTGTGGACTTGGGTGGGGGGAGGATTGTATAACAATGAAAGAATTTTTTTTTCTTTTCAAAGAGAAAAGCAAACTCAGGGTGGTCAGGGAGGAAAATGTGCAACAATGAATGAATGGGAAAAAATAAATGGGAAGAATATGTTAAAAATATTTATATTTATAAAAAGTGACGATCCAATGATATTTAAATAAAAATATACTTTTGTAATTAAAAAACCTCAATATTTTCCAAAATGAAAAAATAAATTGGGGGGGGGACAAAACTGCGTGGCCAACCAGGAAAAAGTGTCCGTCCAAGGCACCCCCTCGGGCTCCTGGGGCCTTGAGTGCCTGTCCAAAGCCTTGGTCAGTTTCAAATTCCCCTCCAAGGCGAGGGCAGATGATGGAGTCTGTGAAGGTGCATGGAATGAAGAATGACAA